ATCAATATTATCAAGCGGTTTCATTTAACATGAACTCAAGATATGATAATCTTCTCATGAAAGTATTAAACATCTAAACTGATCCTCTTTCATACCAAAATCTCTTTTGAGAAGCATGAATCAGTCAGCTTTAAGTTCCAGTTCAATAAGTCATTTAAAAGAACAAACTATCACTCTCGCGATGAAAGACTTTTAAACCTTTAACCGATTGGTTCAGACATTTCTACGAACACTTTTGATGCGAGATATATCTCAGATCTGAACCTCAAGTGATGTGCTTGGATCCAGCTTAGAGTTCTCATCGGTTAAAGAATGAAACATGCAAGACTAGACCCCTAAACTCGCTAATCTATCATGAAAGTACCCTAATCTACCTATCTAAAACCTCTTAAATGGACTACTCACTGATCATAACGAGCTCACTAAGTCCTTTGCAAGACGTGTAGCTGGTCATGATAAGGAGTTTAATGCTGGTGAATAAAACAAAATAAACAAGAACAAGATTCTTATGTGAAAACGAGATATCGGATTAGATTAATCAAGTTTCACAAAAGAGGCAAGTTCTTAAAGCTAAAACTGGCAGGAAATGAGATAAGATAAAAGATGATTAGGTTTCTGGTCCTAAAATCTATTTATAGTGAAGGGTAAGTGTCGCGGGTCAGCCCGGAACAAACCGGGTACTGAACGCTCTTCTTGGGTCTTCGGGTGAGCACCACGGTGTGTGAGAGAGTGGAGCCGAGGTCTTGATGCCGAGGGGTGCACGTGAGCAAAGATCAAGGTGAAGATCTCATGAAGAACACGTCAAGAACATGCATAAACCCTAGTCTTCAATCCATCTTCACGAGTGTCCTCCAAGTCACTTTGTTCTTGAATCTGGGTTTGTGACACGGGACCTCGGCATGTAATGCCGAGGAGCCTGGTAGGCGAGGGGTTCGGGAAGACGAAATCCGGCATGCAATGTCGAGGCCTTTACACCGAGGTTTACGTTCAACACTTAGTCAGTTTCAGCTTCACATCTCTTGCATGCTTCGATCTTGATGTACCGAGGAGTTATTACGGGGTCTAGTCAAGAGAGCTTTCATGGGATGAGCCTCGGCCTAAGCAATGTTGAGGCAACGATGCCGAGGTCTGTAGAAACACTTAGCGCATATTGCAACACCTTTGGGCTTGTATCGACCAATTCGTCTTCCAGAAGCAATAACTTCCAAACCACTGCTCCAAATTGGGCGAACTCAGGTGTTCCGGAAAGAGCATTCATCGACCTTGAACATTGATGAAGGCCCTGTAGACTGGTTCGAGCTGGAAGGGCTTCTTCCCTCGTAATCTTTGAGACTCATCTGATCGGCTTTTGGATTCATGCGAGACAGGCGTGTTTTCCGGAGACGATATCTCTCTATTCACAGGTCCGAATTACTTGATTCCAACTGTTCTGGGATCTTGGCTTGATTATTTCCAACTTTTATGAAGACCCCGTCAACTGGTTCGGACTGGAAGTTTCCCGGCTTTGAGATCTTTGAGGCGCGCGGGTGAAAATGGATTTTTAGCCGGTAAATGCTTCCCGCGGTAAGGAAAATATCCGAGAATCGTGTACTGCGGTAAGCTTTTTTAGTCGATAAAAACTTCTCGCCTCGGCATAAAACTTCACCGAATGGAATTTTCACCCGGGTCTGATTTTTAGCCGGTAAATGCCACCCGATAGCGATTTTGGCCAATGTTATGATCCAGCCGGTACGAGTTTTAGCCGAGAAATTCCTCAACGCGGTTTTCACCATTTGTGACCCTTTTCTTCACCGTTTCCACTTCTGATCCTCCTCTTGAGCTCCAAATGTCCTCCAAAGCACCTGATAAAGACTTCAAACCATGCAAAATTCATTGGGACCTAATGCAAGTCCTAAAGCCTAGTTTGACGCCTAAAGACCTAATATGAATGAGAAAACACATGATTTGACCTCTAAAATGCAGCCTAAATGATGCAAAATATAAACATATCACATCCTCTTGCTCCTTAGCTCCATCCATGATCATATCATTATCCCTTTCAAGCTATGTGTATGCTTATGCATCTCTATCTCAAACTTCTTTCTTGATCTCGTAGACTACAAAAGTCATAGCCTTGTAATTTACTTTCCTAGCAATTTAATAGAAAGGCTTTTATCAACAAGAAGAAAAACCTTAATCAAATGCATATCGAAGAGACTAAAACAGTGTATAGAATCTTAGCTAACTGTTAAAAATAAAAAAGTTAAAATGGACGCCTTCATTTCGAATGAGACTATACCTATAGAGTAATGAGGCTGAATTGTATTCATTAGATGAATGATTTAAAATATATATACAGATTACAGAGAGTATATTAGGGCTTAATGATTTACTAATCTACTCATTCCATATATACATTATACGCCCCCTCAAGATGGAGGGAGGTGTGTCACTCCAATCTTGCCTGAAAGTTCAAGGAACCGTGGCCGTGGCAAAGGTTTTGTGAGAGCGTCGACAAGCTGATCTTTTGTTGAAACGTGTGTGACACGTAGTGCTCCAGACTTAACTAGTCCTCTGATGAAGTGGTAATCTAAAGCAAGGTGTTTCATACAGGAATGAAACACTGGATTGGCACTCAAATACATTGCCCCAACTTTATCGCAATAGATAACTGGTGAGCTGGAAGAGTAATGCCAAGTTCGGATAAGAGCGAACATACCCAACGAATCTCACCAGTTGTGTTTGCAACTGCTCGATATTCCGTCGATGATCTAGCAACACCTTTCTGATTTTTAGAAGACCAAGCAATCGAAGATGATCCAAGATAGAGAAAGTAAGCATTGGTTGATACGAAATCATCCATATCTCCAGCGCAATCTGCGTCGGAAAACCATGTAGCGAGAGAGGAGAACTTACTTTAAGAAAAATTCCATGAGAAACTGTTCTAGCTAAATACCGTAGTACACGTTTCGTTGCTTGCAAGTGGACATCGGTTGGCCGATGCATGAACTGGGACAGGCGGTTCATCGCGTAAGCAATATCTGGTCTCGTAAACGATAGGTATTGAAGGCTCCCAATAACAGTCCTATACTCAGACGCATCATCAAGTGCTGTCCCAGACATCAGAGAGAGCTTTGGTGTTAGAGACATGGGTGTGGAAACTGGTTTGGCGTTGAGCATATTCGTCTTTACTAGAAGATCCTGGATATAATTTTCTGCATAAGATGGAGGCCTAAACCCTAAACCCAAGAAATATGTCAAGTCGGTTGGGTCTTTGAGAGAGAATCGTGTGGATAGCTGATCAATGAATCGCATGATAATGGTCCGGCTATTCCCTGTGACTATTATATCATCCACATACACCAAGATATAAGCCCTCTGATTACCTTGGATGTATACGAACACAGAATTATCTGCCAGAGAATTCAAAAATCCGATGGAGCAAAGAAAATGATTCAGCTCTGGGTACCATGCTCTCGGCGCCTGCTTAAGACCATATAATGCTTTCCGGAGGCAACAGATATGGTGTGGCTGATCTGGGTCAACAAAACCCGGCGGTTGTGAGACATAGACTTTGTCGGTGAGGGTGCCTTGTAAAAAAGCATTATTGACATCCAGCTGTTTGATACCCCATGAATGAGTGACCGCTAATTGCAGAACAACCCGTATCGTGATCAACTTTACCACAGGACTGAATGTCTCTGAGTAATCCAATCCATATTATTGATTGAAGTCACGGGCTACAAGTCGTGCTTTGTACCTGTCAAGTAGACCATTAGGTAAGTATTCCAACGTAAATATCCATTCGGTAGCAATGACATGTTGATCTGGTTTGGGGGGAACCAAATCAAACGTATAATTTCAGACTTGGGCATTGAGCTCCTCTCGCATGGTATTTCGCCAATTTGGATTCGCAAAGCTTGGTTCACTGTGGTGGGAATTTGCGGTTTGATGGATGTGGTGGTTACCGATAGGGTGAATTTCTTTTTGGGTTTGGTGATTTTGTCTTTGGCTCGGGTTTGCATAGGGTGGATATTGGCCGGTGGTGGAGGATTCGTCGAGCTGGTGTGGCGAGGAGAGGTTGAAGATGATGGATTTGGGTCTGTGTTTGGGATTGATAATAAGTTTTGTATTGGGCTAGTTTGGGGTTGGGCCTGTGTAATGCCAACATTGTTTCGGCCCAATACAAAAGTATATGAGCCCACCAATGTGGTATCCAATGGAGACAACTCTGTGTTCACCAACACCGTAGCTGGAATTTCTTCTGTCGCCGGTGGCGTTTGGTGAGGATCTCCGGTCGGGGGCTGAGCTGATGGTGATGACGACGATGGCAGATGAGCTGATACGAGGGGTATCGGTGTTGTTTTTGCGGGAAGCACAACGTCACCTTCGTCACTTATTTCAGATCATTTTTCTGATGGGGTTGCAAACAGGAACTGCTCCTCTACAAACCGGACATGGCGAGATACATAAATTTGGCCGGATTGTGGATCAAGACAAAGGTAGGCACTCTGGGAGTGTGAATACCCCAAAAAGACACACGCCATCTCGGTCCTCCAGTTTATGACTCCGGTATGGTCTTAACCAAGAAAAGCACAGGCCTCCAAATACTCCGAGTTTGAGATAATTAGGCGGCTGTCCAAACAGTTTGGTGTATGGTATTTCGTCACGGAAGACCAAGCTTGGTAAGCGCTTGATAAGGTAGGTCGCCATCACGAAGACATATGTCCAATATTCTGGTAGTAGAGAAGCTTGATGCAGCAGCGTGAGGCCGGTTCTACTAAATGGCGATGTTTCCGTTCAGAAATTCTATTATGTTCCGGTGTATGCGGTGGGGAAGGGAGATGAGAGATACAATTTGCGGTGAGAAACGGTCGCAACCCTACAAATTTGCAGTGAGCCATTGTTGTTGTTGGTGCGACCATTGGTGTTGTTGTTGTGGGGAGGATCTCCATTGTATTGAGCAACATTGGCTGAAATCAGAAGAGGAGACGAGGTGACCGCTGCAGTTTGAAGCTTCACTTGGAAGTTAATGAGCTTTTCATGAATTTCAGTGAGCGATGGAGGAGCATCGCGACTCTCAATCTGTTCCACCACCTGTTTGTAATCATCTGGCAGGCCACCAAGAATATAATCGATTTGATCTTCATGATCCAGAGGCTTCCCAAGCAGGGCTAGTTGATCGAAGCGCGTGGTGTGTCATTGGAAGTATTCGTTGATGGAATTGGTTCCCTTAGTCCATTGTTTGATTTGTTGGTGCAATTGTTGTTGATGACCACAGGTGGGTTTCAGGTACGTATTTGAGAGAGTCTCCCATATCTCTGCTGATGTCTTCGTGGTGGAGAGAATAGGTTGAACAGACACCGAGATTGCACCCAGCAAAGCTCTGTAAATCAGCTTGTCCTGTCTCTTCTAGAGTGTGTACTCACGATTAGCAGTGACTACACCAATAGTGGTGATGGTTGAAGGGGGCACCACACCGGATCTGTCGACGTAGCCGGCGAGATTGTAACCATCGAGCAACGCGTGTACTTGACGATTCCACATCAGTCAATTGGTTGAAGTCAATTTTGTTACGTTTGTCATATTGACATTGAGGAGAGTTGTCGTTGAATCAGAGATCACAACGGTTTCATTGGAGGTTGTGGGTGATGCCATCGGGAAGAAAAATTTCGAGGAAAATTTGAAAATGGATTGGGAGGCGGCTTATTGTATTTAGGTTTTTAGGGATATCTGATTTGATACCATATAGAGTAATGAGGCTGAATTGTATTCATTAGATGAATGATTTACAATATATATACAGATTACAGATTACAGAGAGTATATTAGGGCTTACTGATTTACTAATCTACCCATTCTATATATACATTATAGTACCAAGCAAGACACCAAATTAAATAGCTTACAATCTCATGGCCATTCTTCCGGCAAAATGAGGAAACCAATTAATTTGAACTCTCAAGACTCGACGACAAAGCACAAGAGTTCATGACTGAGGACAATGGTTTATTAATATTTTATTAGGGCATCAAACAACTCAGAACCAACCAGATGGATGGAAGCCATATTTGAAGACCAAATTTCTTTTTTACTCAAGCGTTCACACTTCAGTTTTTTTTTTTTTTTAGCTAATGGCTCATTTAGTATGAGTTGGATTTATATATAGTTGGTTGATTTTAAGAATTCATCAATTTGTTAAATTTGCAATGAGTTTTTTTAGATTTGTCGAGACTTTTATCAAAATCGTAGAGTTTTGTATTCAAAAAGTATATCAAAATATTTTACTATTAAGACATTAAAAATTCTAGAGATATCAATAGTATTGTGAAAGTTCCGTTTTAGGAGTTAAATTGTTAAAATTCATATCTTAATAACACAAGATTGAAAATATAGAACAAAAAAACCAGAATTTTTAATTCTAGAGAGAGTTTCAGATTTAACCCATATTTCAAAGTCAAACACCAAACTAACTGTTTTTTTTTCTCTCTCCAATTTTTGCCATTTTCTCACAATTTTATCCTTTCCACTTAAACTATTAACGAAAATATCATTATACATCTATTATTTCGATTTTTCTTTAATTTGGCTAAAGTCTCCTGAGACCTTCTAAAGACCTTTTAATTACGAGAATGCCATCTTCTTCAATTTCTTCAACCACCATGAACAACCATGAAAATAGAATAAATGCTTCTCAACCAATTTTAAAGCTGTAATAAGTAAATATTGAGCTCATTCACTCATAACCTTCCTCATTCTTTCATAATTTCTTCTCCAAAACATCTGGGCTAAGTTACAATGCCAAAAGTCATGCATTTTTGGTGATTTCTGGTTAATTGACATCTGGGTTGCTTATCTTTGGTGAAATCCTGAGTTCTGGGTGCTTAAAAGAACTGTAGCCGAGCTCAATTTTGTTAAAGGTAATCGTCGCACTTCAATTTCTCCATATTTCAGTTTTCATATCGCGAAAGTAGACTTCTCGTGAAGTATACTGAAGTTTACTAGTCAACATAAGGGTATTTTTGCAATTGACTTTTTAAAAGTAGACTTCATTAAACCTCACGAGAAGTCTACTCGATATCCTTTGAAAACAAAAAAAAGCATAGTATACTTTATTTGAAGGCTTAAGAAGTCTACGAAAGAAAAGAGATTATTTTTGTAGTTGACCGTATTTTGACTTTTTAATGTAGACTTCTTTCTAAAGTCTATTGTTTACGTCTGCACAAGAAGTCTACTTTTAAGTTACTTTTGTAGTTGACCAAAAACGTATAGGTCATTTTAGTGTTTGACTAAAGTTTTTTAAAAAATAAAAAATACAGAAAACTCCGGAAAGCTGCAATAGACTTCCCAGAGAAGTCTAAAAACTGTAGACTTCTTTGAGAAGTCTACTTATATTTTTCGGTCAAACTTAGAAAAAATCTTTTTTTGAGTAGACTTCACAGTGAAGTCTACTCAAAAATTTCAATTGCAAAAATAACCTATTTTTTTCCGTAGACTTCTATTGAAAAAGTAGACTTCAAAAGTAGACTGTCAGAGAAGTCTACTCTTACATGAAGTCTACATTAGAAGTCTACTTTGTGAGTCAATGCATCGGTCAAATGCTAAAATAACCTTTTTGGCCGGAAGTCTACTTCTGAAGTCTACCGAAGGAAAAGTCAATGGATTGGTCAATTGCAAAAATAACCTGTTTTTTAGTAGACTTCTTTAGTAGACTTCACTATGAAAAAGTAGACTTCTCCTCCAGTCTACGTTTGAAGTCTGCTGTAGAAGTCTACTTATTGCAGTTTTTTTTTAAAACGCGTTTTAGGCACAATTATAAAGTATTTTTTAAAAAAATTTGGCTTAGAAATGCTTGTTAGCAAGTGATTGAACTACTCAATGACTTTCATTTTATTTAAGTCGATATTTATTGCAGAATCGGATTTTTTGATTTTTAAGCTAGTTAGCTTATAAAAGTAGACTTCTCCAGCAGTCTGCTATTGAAGTCTAATCGGGAAGTCTACTATTGAAGTCTAATCGGGAAGTCTATTTTTTGTATTTATTTCAAAAACGTTTTTCAAAAATATTTATAATGTTATTTTTTTATTTTTGGCTTTGGATATGCGTGTTAGTAAGTGGTTGAACTACTCAATGATTTTCATTTGATTTAAGTCAAAATTTATTGTGGAATCGAATTTTTTGATTTATAAGCTAGTTAGCTTGTAAAAGTAGGCTTTTCCAGCAATCTACGGATGAAGTCTGCACACGAAGTCTTCTATATAGATAAATTGTTACTTATGTATTTGCAATAATGTGGTCATAATTTTGCTTGCTAATATGATTTTTTTGTGTTTTATCACAGAATATGGTTTATAGAGAACGATGGATGAGAACTTGTGTAGTGCTTTTGTATTCTTGTTTGCAAGATAACAGTTATAGTACACAAGCAATTAAAGTGACATAAGCTAATTTTAGGGGGAATTGCTAAAAATAGGCCACAATTTGATTCCAAATGCAAAAGTATACCCCATATTCAACCTATTGCAAAAATAGGTCAGAGAGGTAGAGAAATTACTATTATCTCCTACATGAGTAAACAAAAAACGGATGTCTCAATTACGATTATAACCTCGAAGTCTGCAAATATTAATGAAGTCTTCTCAGCAGACTGATAAAGAAGTCTACTATACTATTAAATCATATTTTTAAATTTAAAAATTATATAAAAATAATGTAAACTGAAATTTGTTTTTATAAATCAAATGTCAACAAGTATGATCTATGAAAATTATAATTTAATAAAAATGAATCATTTTTAACCATCTAAGATAAACATAAAAAGTGAAAAGTTTTAAACTAGGGCTGCAGACTTCTTTATCAGTCTGCTCAGCAGACCGTAAAAGAAGTCTGCTATATTATTAAATTTTATATTTAAATTTTAAAATTATGTAAAAATAATATAAAATGAAATGTGTTTCTATAAATCAAATATCAATAAGTATGATCTATATAAATTAGAATTTAATAAAAATTAATCATTTTAAACCATATAAAATAAACATCAAAAGTGAATAATTCTAATTTAGGGTTACAGACTTCAAAAGAAGTCTACTCTATTTTTAAACTTTATATTTTAATTTAAAAATTATATAAAAATAATTTAAGCTGAAATTTTTTTTCATAAAATAAATATAAACAATGTTGATGTATATAAATTAAAAAGTAATATAACCAATTCAAATTAAACCAACAAAGATAAATATCTTTATTATAGGTTTTAATTTAGGGTTACAGACTAATTTAAGAAGTCTGCATAAACCGAAACCGAATTAAAATTAAAATGTGTACATAAACCGAAAATAATTAACCTAACCGGATATTTTTAACCTATTATATAAATGAAACATACTAATTGTTACCCTAAACTAGAAACCCTCGACTCCTTCTCTGTAAAACGGCGCTGTGCTCTCTCTTTCATGGCTTCTCTGCTAGCTTTTCCTGGTTCGTTTTCTTTTTTCTTCAGATTTGCTGTCTCCTCGTTTTTTGTTCAAATTCGTGACTGATTTTGGTTTTCAACGGGATTTCAGATCTGTTGAATATGTTGGAATCGAAGGTGTTATTGAACTCAAACGGGAGCTTGAACGGTCGTCAGAATCACACCGAAAATTCGGCCGACGAGGATTTGGTTACCCAAGAGTTTGAATGTATCTTATTTCTGTGATTGACTGTTTCTGTTTTTGCAGAACGTCTTCCTTTCATCGAGAAGAGGATTTGTGCGCATAGCCATGGAACACGGGACACCTCTGGTTCCAGTTTTTTGCTTTGGTCAGGTAGAGAAAAGAGTTGCTCACAGAAATGTTGTGCTCTATGTAGTTGTCTTCACGTAACTGATACTCTCAAAACTTGATTTGGTTTGTCAGATGCATGATTTAGATCTTGTATCGTTTCTGCTTTTCCAGTTTTTTTTATCGATTCATCATGTCTTTTGTTTCTTCTGCAGTCACACGTGTACAAATGGTGAAAGCCAGACTGGAAACTCTACCTGAAATTATCGAGAGCCATCAGGTTTACCCCGATCTGCTTTTGGGGAGTTTTTGGGTAAGTGGGTTGGTTTCTCTTAGGTACATTTGATTTTGCCTGTAAAAATCTTGAAAGAGGTAAAACTATTCCCATTTCGTTTT